ATCTCCACATAGCTCCCCCCAGAGTGTCCGGAGGTAACACTGGTTGTAATAACAATAAGAAAAATTTTATACAAAAAAAAAAAATAATATTTACATTAATAACCAATTAACAATGTGGAGATGCGTATGACATGTACGTTAATAATATACAGTGTGTTATTGCGTGAAAATAGCGGTGATGTGGCATAGCATGACAAACAAAAGTAATGAGAATACCGTCTTTCAAAATTTTGGTTTGCTAACAATGATAATAATGTACAGAACTGTTACTGAACCCAAAAAAAATGAACTGCTTTTTTTTGTGTGTGTGTGTACAACAAATGAATAATTAAATAGAGTTTACTCGTTTATTATTGTAACAAATTTTTTTTATAAAAAAAATGTGACAAAACGAATAATTGTGGGGAAAAAATATGGTTAATTATGTACACTAAAAAAAAGGAAAAAAAATTTGTTTTTTTTTTAATCGACGAAATGGACATAACGCTTGGGTTTGTTTATAGGTCTGCCGGAGCGTGTTAAACAAGAAGGCTTAGTATTAAGTTTTTTGTCCTCCACTGGTTTTTCAGTCACTGGTGAAAGGGGTTGATTGTCAACAGCGTTGTCTTTTTTACTTGAGTAGATTCATAGAAAGCAGGTTTGATTCTGTCTATAGAAATAGTCTGCTTTTTGCCATCTATGCTGATGATGAAGTATTTTTGTGTGCGTTTAATTACTTTATATGGACCTTCGTATGGTTGTTTCAATGGTTTTTTAACCGCATCTACTCGGACGAAGACAAATTTACACGTTTCAAGGTTTTTATCAAGTTGGACTCGATTGTTGTGTTCTCTAGGTGGTATTGCTTTGATGTTCTGCATCATTTGTAGTAATCTGCTTACAAAGCGAGAAGGGTCTCCTGGCGTTGTGGGTTCATTCTTGACCAGTTGTCCTGGTAACGTTAATGTCGTGCCATAGACTAGTTCAGCGGCCGTGCATCCGATGTCTTCCTTCACTGACGAGCGAATCCCAAGGAGAACGAGCGGTAAAGCATCGCTCCATTTTGAAGGGTCCGGTTGTGCCATCAGAGAGCTTTTTAGTTGGCGATGGAATCTTTCAACCATGCCATTAGCTGCCGGATGATAAGCTGTCGTTTTAATATGATTTACTCCAAGAAGTTTAGTGAACTCGTTAAATACGACGGATTGGAATTGGGGACCGCGATCTGTTGTGATTGTTGATGGTACGCCAAAGTTGGATATCCAGCGGTCGAGGAAAACTGAAGCCACTGTCTCTGCCGATGTGTCTTTAATGGGGCATGCTATGGCCCATCTTGTGAACCTATCTATTGCGGTGAGGATATGTGTGAAAGAGTTTGATGGTGGCAGAGGCCCAACTAAATCTAAATGCACGTGCTGGAAGCGTTTGTCAGGGATAGGGAACTTCCCACTTGGACTGTAGGTGTGTTTTTGTATCTTACTGCGCTGGCACTGGAGGCAGTTACGTGTCCATCGTTTAACATCCGAGTTGATTTTAGGCCACACAAAACGTTCGGTAATGAGCTTTGTTGTTGCTCTGATGCCTGGATGTGAAAGACCATGCAAATGCTGGAATATTTTTCGTCGGCAAGCATGTGGGACAAACGGACGATTGTTGCCTGTTGAAGTGTCGCACATGATGAATTCGTCTGAAAGGGGAATAGGTACAGGTTTGAGGTCTAAGCTAGACTTTTCTTTGCAGACTTTTAATTCTGCATCGTCTGCTTGTAATTTAGCCAAGGTTTCAAGGCTGATGTCATGATTGAGTACCATCGTATTGATATCCCTCCTAGATAGTGCGTCTGCAACAATGTTCGAGTGACCTTTGATAAACCTGATGTCTGTGGTAAATTGTGAGATATAATCAAGTTGTCTTGCTTCTCGTGGGGAGTGTTTGTCATACGATGTGCTAAAAGAATGGCAAAGGGGTTTATGATCTGTCATAATGATGAAATCACGACCCTGTAGCAAAAAGTTGAAATGTTTTACTGCTAAATACATAGCCAGAAGTTCGCGTCCGAAGGTGCTATAGCACTCTTGAGTTGGTGATAATCGTTTTGAAAAGAAAGCTATAGGAGTAATCTTGTCGTTAACGCATTGCTGTAATACTGCTCCTACTGCTTTTTGGGAGGCGTCAGTGCAGAGGATGAGGTTTGTTGTGGGATCGGTGTTTAGGTGCTGTAGCATGGTAGCATTAGATATCATCAACTTTGCTTTCTCGAATGCTGTTTTGGCATCAAGAGATAGGTTGAATGTTTGATTCTTCTCTCTCTTCGTACCTTTTTTGTCGGCTTTCAACAGATCGGTTAATGGCTGTAATACTTCAGCACAACGTGGTAAGAAGCGGCGATAAAAATTACACATACCGAGGAAGCGTCGTAATGACTTAACCGAGGTTGGTTCGGGGTAGTTAGTAATATCCTCAACTTTCGTCTGAAGTGGTTTGATCCCTTGTGAGTCGATGTAATGTCCCAAAAACTCTAAGGCTGGGACTGCGAATATGCATTTCGAAGGATTGATGACGACACCATGTTTTTTAAAACGATCAAAAAGGATCTGGACATGTTGGATATGCTCTTCTAAAGATGAGCTTGCAATCAGAACATCGTCGATGTAGGCAAACACGAAATCAAGGCCTCTTGTTACGTTATCCATGAAGCGTTGGAATGTCTGCGCAGCGTTTTTTAATCCGAATGGCATCCTTAGAAACTCAAACAAACCAAAAGGTGTTATTATGGCTGTTTTCTCAATGTCTTCCGGTGCCATTGGAATTTGATGGTATGCGCGCACGAGGTCGAGTTTGGAGAAAATACATTTACCGTGTAGGTTTAATGAAAAATCGTGTATATGCGGAATCGGGTACTTGTCAGGAATGGTTTGATTGTTTAATCGTCGATAGTCACCACACGGACGCCAATCTTGGTCCTTCTTTGGTACCATGTGTAACGGCGAGGCCCAAGGGCTGTTGGATGGTCTGATAATACCAAGTTGCATCATATGTTCGAATTCTCTTTTAGCTACTTGCAACTTGCTTGGTGGTAGTCTCCTCGCCCTGGCGCTAATAGGTGGTCCGGTGGTAGTGATATGGTGTTGTACCAGCTGTGGGTTACCTTCCTTTTGGTAATCTGATTTCGTAATGCACTGGTATTCTGTTAGAATGTCGTTGAAAACGTTGTTCGCAGGCTTCATTATCCGTACACCATGGATTTCACAGTCGTTGGAAGGTGTACCTTCTACCTGTAAACGTGTATTTGCGTCGATTAATCTCTTCTTGGTCATATCTACTAACAAATTGTAGGCACTGAGGAAATCAGCTCCGAGAATGGGTCGTTTGACTTGAGCAACTATGAATACCCATGTGAATCTTCTGCGGAGCCCGAGATCTAATATAAGAGATTGCTCTCCGTAAGTTTTGATAACTGATTCGTTAGCCGCTACTAAGGACAATTTAGTGCTTGTCGTATGTTGTCTGCGTGAGAGATGAAGTGGGATGATGCTGATTTCTGCTCCAGTATCGACTAAGAAGTCTGAGCCAGAAATACGATCCCTGATGTGGAAGAGGCGGCTAACATGTTGGCCAGTAACAGCTGCCGCCATTACTGTCTGGCCACTTCGTTTCCCTGATGGTCTGGCTTGTTTGTCGTGAAGTTGCACGGTTTTGTGCAACGACGTGCTTTCTCACCATAATTCGAATGATACCAACAAATTCCGGCTGCCCGCTTAGGTGACCTAAGGCGATGTCTGGATACTGATCTCCTTCTGGACGTAGATCTGGGAGGTCGAGAACGGATGGTGGAAATAGTGGCCTGCAGTGATGCTAGCTGCTGTGTTAACTGTGTTATTTGTTGTTGGATGTTGAGTGCGTCGCTCATGTTTTCACTACTTGAGGATGGTATCGCGTTAACGCCGCAACTATCGGGATATATTTCTATCATCTTATCGGCCATGTCTGCTAGATCATCAAGACTGACAGAGGCTCCTGATATGCTGAGGATTTGTCTGACGCTATGTGGTAACCTTTGTGACCACATCTGCTTAAGTAATGCTTCGTCTAACTTGTATGAGCCTGCTAGTTGTCTCATATGTCTAAGCAACTGTGAAGGTCTTTTGTCCCCTAACTCGCATGCGGTGAGTAGTTGCTGTAAGCGTTTTTCGTCAGACTGCGAAGTACGGTGGATTACTGCGGCTTTTATTTTGTCGTAGGGGTCCGTTTCTGGTACGTTATCTATCAGGTCTCCGACTTCTGCTGCCACTTCTATGGGTAATGCTCCAACGATGTATGCATATTTTGTCGCTTGCGAGCGTATACCTCTCGACAAAAATAATGCCTCAACCGTGTCCAAAATGTGACTAACAACTATACTTACAGGTTTCTTTACCTTAAAACCATTCACTTATTATTACCCCTCTTTGAGAGAAGGATAACTTAGATTCTTGAGAAACTTCGTCTATGCTCAATACCTTTTGTGGAACCACTTCAATATCATCTAACAATAATGTATGACAGTTTGACTACTAAACATGCCTCCAAAACCCCGAGTCAAGTATATGAATAAAAATAAACTGTAGGACTGTTTAGCAACGTTAACTAACATAGAATCAAGACGAGAAACTGAAAATAAACTAGTCAGTATTGTCCCAGATATCAATATCTTAGAAAATGTTTGATACATTATAAAGTAGGTTTTACATATGCAGTATCGAGAGGGCTATCATAGACACCATGAAGTTTACAAACGTTTCAGATAGACATTAACAAAGTCTTCGTAATAGGACCAAAAACTTCTTTACTATCTGCAAGTCTTGGATGTAACTGTTTCGACATAACTACACAATTTTTATCACCTAATTGGTGAGAAGGCAATTATGTCAAAGATTAAGTAAAATCTTCATCGTAGTGGGGAAGTTTACCCACAGAACATTGTGTTTAAAGGAACGATACATAAACAACTTTCATCAAATGTTAAAATGTGGGAAAATTACCTGAATAAAGGCCAATTCGAGTCACGCTTAATGTGAGGATCAACAACAGTAACGAGCTTTCGACCTTTAACATTCAGTTTATCAACCATTTCTTTTGGATTTGGAAATTTAGTTCTATCCCAAGTAAAATAACGTTTTCCATCAGTGTGTTCAATGTCTAACCACAAAACATCAACAGGCATTTCATATTCATCAAAATGTTTGTCCACAGAAAGTAAATCAGCTTCATCATTATAGTTCCATCTACACTGATGATAACCAATCGCAAACAGGGGTGGTAACTTGGTAGTACCTACCACACTAGCATAAGAACGCATTGCTTCAGATGGAGTACTACCCATAAACACATATAAATCTACTAAGCCGGACTCAGATATCCATCTCGTTTGTACTGAAGATTTCTCTGGTTTCTTCGAAAAGAAACCTGAAAATATTCCGCTATTTTGTGAGTTCGAGTGATCAATGTCGATCCATGTCTCCGACGGATTCAGCCACAAGACACCCACAGTATTATTTTGATTGTGTCCCCACATAACAGGGACAGAGCCATATAAGGCCATTTTATTATGGACCTCATATTCGAATACATCAAGATTATAAAGTCTGTAGGGGTCACCATCACTTGTAGTTTTCAAAACGAATCCATCAGCATGTTCTGGGATCCCATAGACGTGACTGAATCCCTGAAAGTCGAAATCCATCGAGATAGAGTTTAAGCCGTGAGGTCTTGTATCAAGATGTTCCTTGAAATATTCTGACCATGACTGATCTTCCGGAACTGTGTGCTCTGTATCTATATGATCTTGTTTTTCATCTTCTTTGTCTTCATCGGTAGTAGATTCTTTTGGTACATCTGTATTTCCTGAAGAATCTTCGGAACTATTTACAGTAGAGATATCAACCTCATGATTTTCACTTGGTAATGTATGGTTGTCATTTTGAGATACCTTATTTTTATCGATAATCGGTTTTTTCCTCTGATGTTCAAAATTTAAAAGACTTCTCTTATTTGCTGATGCTACAACAATGTCATTCAGGAAAAAATCGATATGAAAAGGGTTATAATACACGACTGCCTTGTATCCAGACTGTCCATCCAACACTAAACTATTCTCAGCAAATTTACACCTGATAGGGGCCTTTTCAACGCCTGGCAAAACGTCTCCTGCAGGCACGCGATACCTTTTATACTCATCTGTCAATTCATCAATGAGTACACGGAAGATGGAGTGTTGATTATAGGTAACATCCAGCGACAGATAATGGTTTTGATCTTCAGTGTAAATAACTGCAGTTATTCCATGTGGGTTTATCTTGACAGAACTTGGTTCTAACCTGTGCGCAAGTTCCCCAGGTTTTATTTGTCGTTGTCGAGTACAGAACCTGTAATATGAGTAAACTATAAAATCATTTAACTTACGAGCTCTGGTCACATGTTTTAAAATTAGCACGATCTACCGACCATGAGATATTGAGTATCAAGAAAAGTAGACCTAAACTCTCTGGCCTCAAAAACATGTTGAAAGAACTGTATCAACAGGCTAACAGGTTTTGTTTGGTAAAGAAGTGAAGGAATAATCTTGTGTGGGATTCCAGTTCGCCAGGTCAAATAGCGTAACAAGGAGTCTGAGAAAATGAAAAGCGTAGTTCTAAAACTTAATAAGCATATTTTAAATAACCATATAAACACAAGATAATAAGTAGTCAGTGATCGATCTACGGAGTAGGATTCTAGAATAACAAACGCTGATAGCTATTTTTGGAGAAAACACCTTTAACCAATTGGTATGCAGCTGTTAACACGGTAGATAAAAGCTGCTGGTCGCCCTCTATCAAGCTAGCAAGATATGAAAGATAATAAGAACTTCTTTTTATTTTATTTCAACACATAGATATTGGCACAAGAAGGCACCAAATACATATGCGCCACACAAATCTCATTCGATATATGTGAGGGCTATGATACTGCCCGGGTGCCCAAACCGCAGTAGGTGGTTTTCTTAGGGGGCCACACCCCGAGCCTTCGACCTGAAGGTCTGATCCAAAAGGCAGTGGAGAATCGTCCCATGGAAGCCGGTGACCAACAATTGGCTCATACGCCATTTGTTCTCGCAGGATACTGGAGCCCATGTGCACCATTGGTTTGGAATCCGGTTAAAGCGCCGGACATTCGCTTTTCATCCTCTCATTTTCGTAAACAACACCCTCGCCACGAGAAGGCAGTGAGTAGGATTTCCCTGGCAGAGGCTATATACGCGTGGCCATGTGAGAGCATTTCGAGAGGGAGAGCGAACTCTCCCCACTCTCGGCCGTACCAGGGCATAATAAGAACTAACCCAAGTAGATTCATTAAACACAAAATACTCATTTAGTGATAATGGAACCAGCAAAAGTTAATAGTGAGCAAGATCACCAACAATACTATCTGTAGACGAAAACCCATCTTATGTGATCTACAGCAAATGAAAGGGGCAACCTTGTGACCAATAGCGTAATCTACTAGACACCAAACAGAAGCAGTCATAAGCCAAAGTCCATTCAGACAACTGACACTCAGGAGTCTGTAAAAATGGTATGCCAGGTGTTTACGACTAGTTAATTTCAGAATAGGGTGTGTTAAATCCTGACAGTAAGATTAATATGAGTATCGTACGACTCTGACTCATCCTAATCCATTATACAAAATTACACGATTGATTGGCGAGACCCTAATCCCTAACCTTAACCCTAACCCTAGGCTACAACCCTAACCACTAACCCTATGGACGAGTTTCTATACCATATGCATTATGAATTCAGAGCCTTTGAACCTTTATCGAACCTTAACAAGTTTTTAAATCATGTAAAAGAAGAATATCCACTGTAATTCATTACTTACAATATATTCTCACTTTATGCTAACTGTCTTCTGATTGACTAATAATTGTCAAGGTCATTTAAGATTCGTTCAAAGGTCGTCGCTAAATTAGAGTCTCGCCGATTGATCTTTATCACAGAGCACGCCACATGTGATTACCATTGTCTAAGAACGCTTTGCGCTCTGTATATGGTTTGATGAGTCTATGTGCATAAAATATAGCACTTCATACTCAACCTCTTAATATCGCAGTTATTTTAGCCGGTCATGCAACAGAATGATTACAGTACACTAAATTGATCTGAAATATGTAAACAATAAAACACAAATTACTCGAAGTCAGATGGACACCAAAGACTAGCGAACCCGACTGAAGAGGTATATGCCGCCCATCTATAACGGACTACCACAGAGTTTGCGCATCAACGAGGTCGCGGTTAGAAATTAACGTGCGTTGCTACGACCTCAGCCTAATAAACAAACCCGTCATACTTTAGGAGACTGCTGAGCCCAATGTGACTCCATTTTGAAGCCTTCTAATCCGAAGATTCACTACCGTTGCATCATAGGCTTGACAACCTATTGTGATGTCCATCTTCATTACGCGGTTGCCATTGCCCTATGAACATACCCTTCAACGAGATAAGAACACAAAGCAGATGGTCTGTAGCTCGAAACGACACACTTTCTTGATAGAGTAAGCGCACTATGTGCTGTGTACAAATGGTACCACGTGTGGAGATCGTAGATAAGGAATTACATGACAAGGAAATAACCGACGACCCCATAAAAGCATGTGACAGACCTACATTCAATAGCGAACCCAAAGACAAATGCTAATGATATCACAAACTTGAAGTTTAGGAAACCTGACAAACCAAACCTGAACTGAGCGAAAGCTCTTGAACGCGTCAAACGACCTACAGTCAAGACGCGCGCCGGTGAATATTCACTTCAGCACTGAATAATTCTAAATCTAAACTTGTTGAGGCCTGTTCAGAAGAGACTTACGCTATATTAACACATCACTTCGTGGAAATAATTCATTGTAATATCTAACTGTAGTCTTGAGCATATGAAAGAAAAGTGAGGGCATATCAGATGCGAATTTATCATCAAGTAATTTGAAAGCCATGATCAAGTCACATTTGATTCTTCTATATGATAGTGGAAATAGATTAAGCCAGTCGAGCATCATACGGGAGCTTTGATATTCCGGTAATAAGTTTAGTTTCAGTTTTCTGGATATTTTTCAACAGCTCACTTTTTCCTTTTAGACAGAAGCTAGACACTTGTATGCAGTACTCAAGTTTAGGACACACGAACAATGTATACAAAGTCAAAAAAAGTTAAAGCGTCTACATGACTAAAGGCTCTACGTATTGACCAAAGTGTTCTGAAAACTTTGGCGGCTATTGCAATGCAGTATGCAGTAGTTTATAGGTTTGAACTAACGACGGCTCCTAAAACAATGTGCGTTCGGACAACAGGCAGCTCATTGATATTCACCGTGTATGCATCTCAAGGCTAATCGTACACTGAATCTTTCATCCAGTTCAGGGACACTGTTTCTCAAACATTTCCTGGTACTGATAGAAGTGTGATGTCTCTGTAGTTCACACATGTGCCGAGATTTCTTTTCCTTGATATATTGATGGGGTATTTTCCTCTCCAGTCTGTCGTCGCTTGTTCCTCCTCCTTTCGAATCTTCCTGAATAGCATGAGGAGCATGTTTGCAGTTACTTCTATGTGTGACTTCACGCTTCAGCTAGTGTGTTATCAGGTCCTTCTGCTTTCCATCTGTTGATTTGTCTGACAGTCATATTGGTTTCTTCGATTCACTGTGGAGTGACATCTATAGAAAAGTCTGAATGTGCTGCTTCGCTGTTCGGTGGGTTCAGTGAGTCTGGTCTATTCAAGAGTTCTTCCGTGTTCTACCCATCTATTCTTCTGTTCTTTAATCTCGACGATTGTCTTACATTTGTCCTTGACCGGTCTCTCTAGTTCACTTTATTTCTCTACCAGTTCCCTCGTTGTGTCATAGAGTTGTTTTGTATTTCCTTCTCTTACAGCTGTTTTCGTTTTCGTTGGTAGGTCTTCCATGTATTTTCGCTTGTCAGCTCTAATGCCCCTCTTCACTTGCTTATTTGCCTCTGTGTATTCATCTTGTGCTTGAACTTTCTCTGCACTTGTTCGGCTGTTGTTAATTACTGTATACTTGTTCTTACTTTCTTGAATTTTGTCCAAGGTTTCTAGGAGATCCTTTCCTTATGATGATACTTCTTGCGACCCATGACGCTTTGAAGTTAGTGGTGCTTTGGTCCCTTTTCCGTTGTCCTCTACAGTAAATTTGCGAATCTCTCACCATTCTCGTTGCTCCCTGCCAGTCCATTTCGTCCCATGATATCTCCATACCCAATGTTAGCCACGCGGACTTGGGTGTCTAGGTCTCTCATCAGTATGGTCAGGTCATTTCCTGGGCACTTCTCTATGATCTATTGCAGCCTTTCGTAGAACTGGTCTTTGTCGTCGTTGTTATCATTGGTGTGTGCATAACACTGGATAACGTTCATTGTGATTCCCTTCTTCTTCGTTTCGGGGATGCTTTGATGATCCTGATTCATGAGATTACCATGATTCCAACTTGGTCATCATGAATTGTGGATCGCAAACATGCGTCCTAGTAGGATGGATGAATCGCCCACCCCATTTAGATATCAATTTTGACAAGTTGTTAACACTTTTTATTGTTTCCCACCAACCAAATACGTTTTAGTTCATCGGACATACATTTTGGTCAGCCCTGCGTTACATGCAATTCGGCTTCGGTACCGAGACAATATAATAAATTTCATGCAATTGGTTCCCTTTATGAATTTAAATAGAGCAAGAACAAACATTGATGCAAAATAGTATGAATTCATATTATTTCGAGGTTTCTCGTCAGCTGCTTACAAACCAAAATTGTGATAGAATTTTTTATATGGAGATAGTGTGAAAACAACTGACATAAATGAGTGTAAATAACTTGATTACAATAATAACTATATATATATGCTAGAAACAGGTCAGAGGTCAAAAGAGGGGGTTTAATCCAGGGTGGGTGGTGTAATAATTTAGTGAAGTTCATAAATTGTGTGATAATTGTAGAGATTAATGGAATTAAATAATGATAAGGTAGATTACGTAATAATAATTAAATAGGGTTTGGAAAGTTAAGATGATTTAAGAGGATCAGGTGATGGAAATGTGTGAATAAAATTTATTTAAGGAATTAGGTAATAGGGGGGGAGTGTAAATTATCTTAGAATAAGTAAATGAGTAAAATAACCAAAACACAAAACAAACAGAAACAAAAGGATTACCAGGGTAGAGATAAGTTTATTAAAGTCTCTTTTTGGATGCATAAGTCCGTTTCAGTTTCTTAATTGCAATGGCTTCAGCAAAGCGGAGAGTGGTAGTAGTTCTTTGTCTATTGATAATTTTAAACGCGCGCATAATATCGACGGTATGCCCGGTGTCAAGT